GAGAGATATGAACCTTCCTCCCACCAATAAAATTTTACAAAGGTTGCCAGTGACCCAGGTGTAGCTCAATCTAATCCCATGTGTAGACATGTCAGTACATATATTGCTTAGTCTCTTGGTAGCATTTAATACCCTTGACCACTTTGGCAGCTCAGTAATTATAATCACGGAGGAGCAGTGCAAAGGTGTATCTAGGAGAAGTATTGACCTGAGAAGTAAGAAGGTAGCCAGATGGGAGTGGACTTAGACATGAGTAGTAAGTGAGCAAGTCTAGATGATTCATTTAAGAAGCTCAACTTCAAAGGGGATAAGAAAGAAGCAGTGGTGGCTGGTGACTTTGAGGAAGGATGTATCTTAAAGAGAGAATAAACATACACATTTTTAAATGCATACAAAATGACACTGTGGTACCATCTGACAGGATAGCCTGTCAGAATGGCTATCATCAACAAATCAACAAACGACAAGTGCTGGCGAGGATGCAGAGAAAAAGGAACCCTCATGCACTGCTGGTGGGAATGCAGTCTGGTGCAGCCACTATGAAGAACAGTATGGAGTTTCCTCAAAAAACTAAAAATGGAACTCCCATTTGACCCCATGATCCCACTTCTAGGAATATATCCCAACAAAACAGAAACACCAATCAGAAAGGATATATGCAACCCTATTTTCATACTGAACAACATAAACTGATGAACAAAAAACCGATCCAGAAACAGAGAAGCATCAATCAGATTGTCAAACCTCAGAGGGACGGAAGGGGAGGGTGGGGGTAAGGAGGAAAGACCAACCAAAGGACTTGTATGCAAGCATATAAGCCTAACCAGTGGACACAGACACCAGGGGGGTGAGGGCATGAGTGGGGAGGGGAGGGCAATGGGGAGATAAGGACACATATGTAATACCTTAATCAATAAAGAAAAAAAATCTAAATGTAGATGACATCCTGTTGGGGAGTATTAAAAGGACTTGAATAGATAGAGAGGAGATTGTGAATAAAAATAATTCCTCCAGCAAAAAAATAAAAATTAAAAAAATAAATGCATATAAGAAATCAGTAGAGAGGGCAGGAAAGGGGGAGTAGCCCCAAGAAGGTAAGAAGGCATGGGACACAGAGCTGAGGTAGAGGATTAGCTAAAAGAGGAGAAGGAATGCTTCCATTTAAACAGAATGGAAGGAAGCAAAGGTGTGTGTGAATTCAGGATAAATCTATGGGACTGGTGGTGTCGATAGGTCTCCAAGACATTCAGTGCAAAAGGAGACTGGGACAGTAGGGAGATTGCCCAGCAGCAGGGGATGCTGCTAATGAGCCTGACATTGGGGCAGGAAGAACGGGTAGAGGGTGGCAGATGGGGATAGTTGACAGAATATCCCCTCCCTCCTACCTTGCCACCTGCACTTTAGCAGTGGGGTCACGTGCATGCAGGAGCACAGACAAGAAGAGAGGAAGAGGGGAACTCTGTCTAGTGTGGCCAGGAAGAGAGCAGTTAGAGCTGGCAAGTCGGAGACGGCTTCATTTTTGTGCTCTTTGGAAATACTCAGGACTTAGGTGTTCAGGGGACGTGGGAAAGCAGGTAGCAGGTGCTGCAAAACAGCATCCTGCCAGACTCTGGCATATGTCACCTGTCCTCACCAGAGCCTTTTGTCAGAGAAATGACAAGAGAAATGACAAGATCTGTCAGAGAAATGACAAGATCTGATCTTTTGGCTGGTAAGAGGAGGGGCCAGCTCCAGACCTGAGGCCTGTGTAGCCTGGAGGACCATGGGCCAATTGAGAGCCATGTGTCCTGGGCATAGCTGGGCTCACCAGAACAGCTTCGATAGTGGTGAAACCTGTGCCTCGCTGACCCAATGGTGTCGGTAAGCCTGGGAGTGTCGTTCCAGGGACACTATAGGTGGTGCTGTCTTTGTGAACCTCCGTGTTCATCTGAGTGGCAAATGGTGTTCATGGCAGTCACTGTGGATGCTGCATAGCTAATGTCCAAGAGTTAGTGACAGCAAGGGACTGTCAACAGTGTCAGCAGCTGTTCCAGGATGGAAGCCCAGGAAGGTGGCAGTTAACTATGTTGACAAATTTCTGATGGGGCTATTACGGTATGGTAATGTGCATTCTGGAACAATATGTTTCCATCTTCTCCCCTTTCCCCCTGCTGGTTTGATTGAGAAAACCATAGCGACCAAAAGTGCAAGATTTATACAGATCGCATAGCGGGGAATTGGGTTATGAGCAGGGGGGCCCCTCTGGGAGGAATTTACCTTTTAAAACTAGAGGGGGAACAGGTGCTCTGGAAAAGGCTTATAACTTCATGAGGGTGGGGGTGGCATAAAAAAAACAACACTCTGCTGAAAATGATGACATCCTGGCTCTGCCATTAAAACAGGTGGCTGTCATTATGGCTGCTCGCTCGTAATGGGAAGATAATACAGGCAGAGAGAGATTTATATAGGCCCCAGAAAGATGAAATTGCACATAAAGGAGGAAACAAGGCATAAAGAGGGCCCACTGGGGGGATCCCTCTGCCCACAGGACTGCATGTGATACTCGTTAATGGCGCAGCATTTGTGTCTCTCTATCCAGAGGCTTACATTCCTACAGAGCTTCCATTTATTTAGGTCTATTCAATTAGCATTTGGGAAATATTTTCTTCCTCTTTGGATGTTTTTCTTCCATTTAGTAGAGTAGTCAGTGTAAAATTTTACTGGATATGGCAAAAGTTGCCCCTCTTCTTTTCTGACAAATCGTGTTGGCTGGAAATTGGGTGTTGCCTCCGGATAATGATGAGGTCATCAAGGGTTCCCATACTAGGCGAGGCCATTGATGGGCTGTGTGACCTATTTTTTTTTTAATATAAAAAGGTAAAGTTTAAAGAGGGAAAAAAAGGATGAAGTCTAAGAAATTATTTTCTATTTTAATAAACTCTTATATGGTGCTAATTATTGCCAGGTACTGTTCTAATCATTTCATAAATGTTAACTAATTTAACACTAACAAGAACACTTTTAAAGTAAATACTGTCATTGTCTTCATTTGCAGTGACATGTCCAAGGTCACACAGCCAGTGAGTTGGGTTCCAGCCCAGGCAGACGTGCTCCGAAGGCCATGTTCCCAACCCCGACAACACACCGGCTTGCATTGTACATATTTTGTTCATTTTTGGTTTTAAGGGTCATTTAAACTATTCATCTGTCCTCTCTCTGAGTCTCTCTTCTGATAAAAACACATTTTAAAATCTCGGCATGTTAGATATTGTTGCATTAGGGGCCGGTAAGATACCAGAGTTGCACTTTAGCTTGAGCAGACCATAGTGTTTTCATTTCATTGGGGCATCTTTAAAATGTGCAGCACATGTCACATTGAGACCTTCAGAGCCCTGCTCTGCTTGCTTTGTGTACAGTCAGAGCAGGCGGACTAACCTTTTAAATCGATTAGGATTGTCCATGCTCTCTCTCAAACATAAAAGATCAACCTAAAGTTTCATATGTGCTCACACACTTACTACAGTCAGCTCCCTTTCTACTTTGATATGCACAGTTGGGAGGATCTCTCTTTGACCATCCTGAGCATATTTTTCCTGGAGATTTAAAGCTGAGTGGGCACAGATGGAAGCAGGGTAATTTACCCTTTTTCTCCCCCTCCCTATTCACCATTTGACACAAGACATGAACAACTCTTCTGCCTTACACGACCTAGCCAGATTGCCGAGTAATTACCTTGATTTATGAGGGTGGGAGTAGAAGGTAGCACAAGACATAATTGTTAACTGAGTATGGTTGGATTATCACTACTGTAATTTGTAAGTTATTTCATGTTGTGTAAATTACTTCAAGCATATTGAAGAAGTAACAGTATCTTAATGTCTTTGTGGCCTCAACAATGTCTGACTTTCTGTAGTTGTGGAATAAAGAAATTAATGAATAAATGAGTCCCTAGCAACTGAAGTCCTCCCCTCTAGAAATATTTAAGAATACCTTTAACTTTCTGCTTTCAAGGTCATCTACATATATAAAAGTATAATATGCAAATCAGCCAGACAGCAGAATGACAGATCGCTATGACATGCACTGACCACCAGGGGTCAGACGCTAAATGCAGGAGCTGCCTCCAGCCGCAGACCTCAATCACCCAATAGCACCCCTCCCCTTCTCCACCCCCCCCACCCCCCAGCCAGCAGGCTCCAATTGCTTGATGGGGGATGGGAAACTGGAGGTGGGTGGTGGTGAATGCAGGTGGCACCAGGCTAAGGCAGGTGCGAGCGAGGAGGGCCTCGATTGCCCAGCTGGTCGCCCCACACACAAACGGCAACAGGCATTGACGGAAGGCAGGGCTGGCTGCTGGCAGCTGGGGAAGATCAGCTCTGATCACAGGCCAGGCCTAGGGACCCTATCTGTGCATGAATTTCATGCATCAGGCCTCTAGTAGTGGTATAATAGGACAGAGATAGACATCTGTATCACAACTGTGCAAGACAAGTGCGGTGTGTTAGAAGAGACAGAAAATGCTTCCAGTTTGGAGCACTAAGCAAGCCTCATACAGAGAGAACTGGAGAGAGCTGGGAGAGGATGTCTGGGACTTAGAGCATGAGACAGGAAGGCTCAGAATGTAGTCAGAAGTTTGCACATCCTCTGTCAGAGAGTTAGATATGTATAGGTTATACAAGGGAATAATGAAGCTGGGGCCAGGTTTTGACACATTGTAAGGTGTAGGGACTACAAACTGGGGCCCTTGTGTCTGGTACACTAGGCAACAGGAACAGTTGAAGATTTTGAATCCAGGATCACAGCTTGCTCTGGCATGTGGAGCTCAGAGGATTCTGGAGTGAGGGGCAAGTCTGGGGATTGTGACCAGTTAGGAGGCTATCAGAGTTTTCCTGGGGAAGGGAAACTGCAAGGAAGAGTCCCTAGCAACTGAAGTCTATGAATGGGAAGAAGTCTATGAGGCATAATTTATAGGAATTAAAATTATTTGGTTGAGAGCAACAATCCAAGGAAGATTGAGTTACAACTAAAAGTCTGAACCAGGGTAACTGGTGGTTAAGAAATAGAGTGGCAAAAAGGAAGAGAGAGAAGCCGTGGAGTCGAGTTTGGTGGGTGGGAAATAGGAAATCCTATCTTGCACTCTTGGAAGTTAGAGAGCGATGGGCCAAGAGTTACAGAGGCCACAGTCATCTCATCTCCATGAAAGTAACAGTTGAGAGAATGACTCACAATCCTGGGGGGAAATAAGTGAGGTGAGGTTATGTGGAATGAACTGTGCACAAGTCAGTCTTCCCATTAATGACTGCTATGAAAAATAGCAGTCATTAATATTTTGTGAGCACAAGGTGGCCGAGACCAGAAACTCGCATTTCCTCAGTGGTGACCAGAATCTACCCCCATCCTCCCCAGTAGGTCTGCAGAGCTGCTCAGCTCAGGGCACATGTTCACACTGACTTCAGAATGACTCCAGGTGGGAAGTCAGACCTGCCCATCCCCACTGTCTGGTGACCACAGTGGCAGTTATTGGGTTATTGGAGTTCAACAATCCTCTAAGTGGTTTAGCTTGCCTTTGCCCTGAGTTCCTTAGTCTCTTCCCAACATAGCAACAATAATAATGATGTTATTAAAAATTTAGACCACGTCACTCCTCCCCTCAGACTCACCAGACTAAAAGCCACAGCACTCCTGAGCATTTCGGAGCCCTCTGCAGTCCAGCCAGGAAGCTTTGCCTCATCACCGGCTGGTCTCCCCTTGGTCACCCTACTCCTGCTTGGCCAGCCCCTCTGTCCTCCTTGCTCCTCTCTCCCTCCTGCCTTGGGGCTTTTACAATGGAATGATCTTTGCTCAAATAAACTCCTATCTCCCATCTTCACCTCTTTGTAGGATTTTCCATGAAGCCCCTATTTAAAATCACACTGCCACCCTGACCCACCCAAGTATTTCTTTCTCCCCCTCCCCACCCGACTTCCTCTTGCAATGACTTGCAGCGGTTCTCAACCTGTGGGTCACGACCCCAGAAAATACATCCTGCATATCAGATATTTACATTACGATTCATAAGAGTAGCAAAATTACAGTTATGAAGTAGCAACGAAAATAATTTTATGGTTGGGGTCACGATATCATGAGGAACTGTATTAAAGGGTCGTGGCATCAGGAAGGCTGAGAACCAACCACTCATAGAGCATGGACTCTGGCCTATACTGCACAGGGGGGAATCTTGGCTCTTCTGTTTCCCAGATGCATGATCTTGGGTTGGTGACATCAATCTCACACGGCCTCAGTATTCTCATCCATAAAATGGTGATATAATAATAATGTTTAGGGAGAACAGAATAGGTTCACATATATAAAGTGCTTAGAACATTGACACACAAAAGTTCTCTAGAAGAGGTAGCATTTATTATTCCATAGCATTTACCACCATTGGGCACACTACTAGTAAATACTATGAGTTTATTTTTATTCATTGGTCTATCTCTTCCCACTAGACTGTTAGCATCACTAAGGCAGAAATTTTTATCTTTCGGCCGTATTGCCAGGGCCTATAATGGGACTTGGCATATACTAAGTGCTCAATTAATATTTGTTGAATTAATCATCAACAAATATTGTGTTTGTTTGCTTGATGTTGTCTTTAGGAAAAATAGAATTCAAAAGTTGAC